ACTTATGAAAGTAATAAAATATAAACAACATCTTGTTTTTGTAGTTTTAGGCCTAGCATCATTTCTTACTTACTCATGTCTAGCTTTTCATGCATTCATACTCTTTGGTTTCAACACGCTATCTCATTTCCATCACGAGCCCATTCAGTTCACCATTGGTTGCACTTGGTTTAGGAAAATATTTACCATCTTAAATGAAGTTTCCATGAGATCAGTTTTATCCCAGTAACAATAAATTCATTGGACGGGGAAAAAAAAATGAATTTGAAGTCAGAAACAGGTAAAAAAAACACTGGTATAGTGTGCTGAGAAAATAACACGTGGGGGGATTGCAAGGTTTGCAAAAACGTGTAATGCGCGAGTTATCTATGTAAAAATAGGGTAGCTGAGTTTGGCCTGGTGTGTGAGTCTGATAAAGTCATTATGAATTCTGATTTGAACAGACCAGTCTAGTTCTTGAGAGAAGTCATTTCCCAAGACTAATTCCGTTTCAGAGGAATTCATTCTAAATTGAAGAATAATTTAGCAACTGAAAAAACAAAAAAAGTTTACCTGTCTTTTCAGCCTGTGAAAAACAGGAAAAAGGTGGAAAAATGAGTTAGCTGCTGAAGCTATCTTAAAATTCTCATATTGCGAACAACAACAAATATCCTAAACAAAATAACAAAGGTTCAATAAGTGCCAAACAAAGAAACATATGGTTGCCAAATGTCAACTCCCCTAAATTAATCTACGAATTCAGGGGCTAAACTAATAAAAATACTATTATGTTTGAAAAGAAAAATTCTCATATTAATTTGAATAGGTTTATTTTTTAAAAGCCAACACAATTTCTCATGTATAAAACAATTTAATATTTTAAAATGTATTTGTTAAAATAATGAGGAACATCACTGAATGATAATCACTAACACGTATTAAATATTTACTATGGGACATTCACTGTGTAAACTGATAATCACTAACACGTATTAAATAAAGATTTACTATGGGACATTCACTGTGTAAACTTTCTACGCATTATCTCATTTAATCACCAGAACCATCCGATGAAAGAGGTAATACTATTATACGTATTTTACCAATAAGACAACAAAGGCTAAGACAGGGTAAGTAACAACTTGATATGCCAAGGTTTGTTGGTTTTAACTAAGCAAAACTGCTTACATGTCATTTTTTTGTGATAGTTGTTAATAAAATAAGGGGGAAACAGCCTCCATATATAAATCAGAATTGGAGCCGACTATTTTCTGATATCTTCACAAGCATCCACTTCAAGGAATTCTGCCTGATTTTTTTGTTCTATCACAATTATGCGATGGCCACTGCAAAACCTGAACAAGGTACTAAAATAAATTGCTTTTCTAAAAATGTGTACGACTGAAACAGATACCTAGTATTCTGACTACTACGTATTGAGATAATCTAAAATAAAGACACTCTTTCAATTTAAAAAAAAAAAGGACAAGAAAACTGTTTCCTTTCTGTCAAGAATTCATTTCATTCTGGTTCAAATCTCATTCTGATTCTTTGTCCCATTAAATGGAACAACTAAATATCCATCTAGTTCATAAAATAACTGCACTAGTCTTGTGTGCTGTCAAATTTTGTAAGCTCGTCAAAATGGTTATTTTTCTCTTCAGGTCTTATTTTATATAAAACCAAGGTGTAGACCTTTCAAAGCCTGAATGAAATATGAATCAGAATAAAATGGAAAATTATAATACCTTGTAAAATAAAATGCATTTCTTAAATATATTTTCAATCTCTGAAATAAATAAAATAGAATCCAAAGAGTATAAAAAAAATTTAAACACTACCCAGAGCACTATCCTAAAATTAGACAAGTAGAAGCAGAGCTGATAAAGCATAGAAGGTGAGTTAAGGGCCCCAAGTCTGGGGGAAAATACAGTCAATTATCCGCAGAGTGGAATAGCAACCTGAAAAAAAGCAACCACTAGCAGACACTGGTTCACTTAAAACAAAAACAAAAGAAAACTACTTCTATATGCATAAGTGCATAAAAGCAAAACACTACTATTATCAGATGACACATATGGATTTATTTTCACTATCAATTCACTTAAGAAATATTGAATTCCATGACTATAACCTACATTTCCAACCACTCTGATTTTCCAGAGAGTGGCTACATACTGTTGCCTGGGCAAGGAGGAACCCTCTTCCTACCAGGTTCTCTTATCTAAGACGGACTTCCAACCAGAGAGTCAAACCCAGCAATAATAAGAGTTAACACACTGAGCACGTACAAAGTGCCAGGCATCAGTGAGACCGGGAAGCTAAGCAAGAGCCAGAAGCAGGCTGTCATTTGGGGTCTTCCTCCTACTCTCTGGAGATTTTGCATTTTAAATTAACTTTAAAACAAAATCTAGAGAAATGTACTGAAAAAGCCACCCTGGTATGGGAAGAAGGATCACTGACACTTTTGTGCTTCTAAAATGCTACACTGCAAAAGGCTGCAGTAGATCTTCCTCTGGGAGGCAGGCAGGCCAATGCTATTCCTTGGGCCTGCTTCGCGGGCATGCAAATTGCGCAGCCACACAGGGCCCCGTATTCAGAAGGGCCCTGCGCTCAGAAAGAAGAGCCCCACATTTGGTTTAATCTCTGTCATCACTGTCTTGAAATTCTTCATACAGTTTTAACCAGGAGCCCCACAAACTACATAACCAGTCCTGCCTAACTCCCCCCACTGAAGCCCACTCAGTTGCCCCAGCCAGGAAATTGAGCCAGGAAGCCCAGTCTTCCTTTCTTCTCCCATGTCCAGTCAGTCACCAAGTCCTGCTGACTCTGCCTTCTAAATGCTCCCTGAAAGTGTCCTCTCTTCTCTATTTAAACTGTCACCTCTCATGGACTCCTCCTGATTGGTCTCCCTCCCTTGTACCTACTCTCAAGCTATTTGTAATACGACAGGTCTTTCCAAATGGCAAACTGACCCTGCATAAAAAAAATCATCCCCCTTCTTAAACTATTCCAATGGCTGCCCACTGACTTTAGTAAGGGATAGTGGAGATATCATTTGGTTGGCTCAGCACCTGTCTCATCAACACTCTCCCTCTTCTTCCAGGAACTCCTCCATCCCTACCCCCTGCAACAATACCCTCCCATGTGAGCTGGCACCTAACCCAAACTGGGCAAATCAGTCTTCCCCTGGGATTTTGTTATCATGGAGGAAGCTGCAAGATGTCAAAACTCGGACGCTGTCAGCATCCATGATTCCTGACAAGTAGGGAAAGATGGCAAGACCCAGAGTAAAGAAATGGAGAGCCTGGCAGTTTGAATGCCTAGTACTAGCTTCCTGAGAACCATCTCTGTCTTTCTGTTCAATGGTATGGGCCATAAATTTATCTTTTTTGCTTAAGTTAGCCCTGGTGGCACGGTGGTGAAGAGCTCAGCTGCTGACCAAAAGCTGGCAGTTGGAATCCACCAGCAGCTCCTTGGAAACCCTATGAGGCAGTTCTACGCTGTCCTACATGAAATCGACTCGATGGCAACGGGTCTGAGTTTTGGTTTTTTAGCCAAAGCTATGTTTTCCATTCCTTGTTGTTATATACAAAACACTTCCTTAATTGGTCCCTACCCATTCACCTTTCCACCTATCTATCTCCCCTTGTATCCTCACACACACACTCTACAATAAAACACTATTCCACTAATTCAACATGCTATTTCACACCTCTGCCTCTGCACACACAAGTCTCTCTACACCACCAGTTCCAACTCTGGGATCACCTCTGTGAAGTCTTTCCTCACTCCCCTGGATAGAGGGAGGCACCCAAACCTTGCTTTCCAGTAGCCTGTGAATAAGAGGAAGAAGCTCTTACCGAAAGAACTGCAATTGCTCCAAGTAGATGACTAATACACCCTAGATAATGGTAGTTTGCAGTTATTAAGAGCTGGGACTCTGGAGCCAAACTGACACGTGTGTTAGTAACCTCTCCAACCAGTTAAGCCTGACTTCTCTGTGTCTCTAAATGGAGATATCAATGGCAACAACCTTATACGGCTGCTGTGAAAATCAGATGTGTTAGACACTTACAGTGCCGAGAACTTAATTGTTCCCTATTATCCCTGAAAGCAGAAACTGAGTAACCACCATTTTTGTATTCCTAACACCTGGCACAATGTCTGTCCAAAGGAAAGACTAAATACTTGTTTGCCTGACTTTTAAGGAACAAGCACAGGAGCTCACGGAGGAAGTCCTAACACAGAGGTTCACGAACAGGCAGTTAAGGAGGTCTGGCCTCCCTGACTCCCTCCCCGCAGCTGTAGACACTGTGGAGACACTCAAGACCGACAGGGGTTTTCCATAATTTAGGTTTATCCCTCCTGCAGATGTTTACTGATTTCACTGATCCTCCTATTCACGACTGCATTGAGCGTTAGTAAGCTTATTTTCAACATTTGTTTCCTAGGGAATCTGAATAAGCAGGCACTCCGGGAAATGCTCTGAGGTACTAAGCTGTGCGAAGAGACAAAGCAAATGCGAAGTGCTCGCATGCCACACCACGTCCAGATTAATACGCAGAACCGACAAACTGCTGCCACTTAATGATTCCCAGCCGGCGATAAAACCTCTCTCCTACCCTGAGTATTTGGGGTCCACTCTAAGCTGAGAGTATTTAAATCATGAGCTGCAGCCACAATGTACAAATGCCGACCAGGAAACTCCACTTATTTAAGATTTAATTAAAAGAACTGGAGAAACTGAGACGCGTTGTTGTTGTTGGTGTTTGGCAATAACGGAAGAGACAGAGAATTAAAGTGTGCGAGCCGCTGAGAACCGGCGTCACCTCCCCGGCGGCCGCCTGCGCGGGGCCCGATACCCAGGGGTCGTCCGGGACACCCGGCGCAAGGTGCGGGGCGAAAGGGGTCGCCGAGGACTGGGCGCAGATGCGCGGGACGGACTTCCCGGCAGAGGAGGCTCCTTCCCTGCCCCTTCCACCCCCTCTGGACCGCGGCCTCGCCGCGAGCGACAGTACCCGAGGACGGCTCCGGTTCCGCGATGCTCATCTCAGTCCTGCTCTGGGCCTGCACGACGAGGACAAGGAGGAGAAGGACGTAGAGAGCCATACCCCTGAGACCGCCAAGGGATGCAGCCCCCGGGGACTGCCAGAATACCCCGCCGCGGCCTTTCAGCCCGGGCCGCACGTCACTTCCTCTGCCAGAACCCTTGCTCCGGCGGGGGGCGGGGCGTGGACGGGGAGGTGGGGCGTGAGCGAGGAAACTGGGTGAGGACTGGGAGTCCCGTTGAGGAAGTCTTTCGGGACGCTGGGCTCTGCGGGCCTGTGGGCTGCAAAGGTTGTGGTCCTGACCCAGGCTCACGGGTTTGAGAGGAACTTGCGGAAGAGAGCCATGCCTCTTCCGCGGAATCTTGTTCATTTTTTGCAGTGTCCTGAGTTTGCAGGGAGCCCTGTGGTGCAGTGCTTTTTTAAGAGTTCGGCTGCTAAACAAAAGGTTGGCATGTTCTAATCCACCATTCGCTCCTTGGAAACCCTACGTGGCAGTCCTACTCTGTCCTATAGGGTCGACTCATTCTGTGGCAACGGGTTTTGTTTTGGAGGTTGCAGACCTTTCTTTGCCTTAGGCCACAACCCGGCCATACTCCTTATTTTACCTTTTTACACTTCACCATCTAGACATCTGGGGCTTGAGATTTTATAAGAGTCTTTAAAAGCCGTCTTCAGTGCCTGCTTTTTAAAATTTTTTTTCCTTCGCTAGTGAAATGGTTTGTGCGAAGTCTCACAGCTCAAACTAATCGAATTGACCGGGCCAAGAACTATTTTACTCTTGGAGGAAAAACAACTTGCTTTACTTTTTCAGTAATTAAATATCAAATAAGCGATGTATGAAGCAACCTGTCATCATGGGATCAGCCCTCTTTCCTGTCTGACCACATCTCCTGTTGCTTTCCATCGCTCCCATTCCACTCCAGCTACATGGGCGTCCTTGAAGTTCCTAGAACACTTCAGGAACCCCCTCTGCTATGCACAAGGCCAACTACCTCATCTGCTTCAAGTCTGTGCTTATCAAGACCTTAAGTAAATCTGCAGTTGCAAACCACTCTCCCATCCTCCTCACCCTGCCCTACTATTTCTCCATGGCACTTAACACCTTCCCTGTACTACAGTATGCATATTGATGTTTATTGTCTCCCTCTTTTAGAATGTAAGCTCAATGAGGCTGAAATATTTGCTTGGCACTCAATTAGCATTTGTTGAATGAAAGAGTCCGCAGTTACACTAACATTAAGCAAAATTTAGGGGAAGAAACTTATGAAGACACTATACTAACTAGGGAAGTATTATCAGCGAGATCATCTTATTTACATTAATAAGTCCCTTAGCTCAGTACTTCTCAACTTAAATGTACGCATGAACCTCCTGGGTACCTTGTTAAAATGCAGATTCTGATTCAATAGGTCTGATCTAGGTTGGGTCCTGAGAGTCTACCTAATAAGACACAGAAAGAATGACAGTACTACTGTGCTAGGACCACACTTTGAATAGGAAGGCTTTCACTCAATCTATACTAGGTTTTGGGTGACTTTTTATTTGATGTGTTTATCATGCCCACTGTATGCAAGGCACCTTCCAGACATTGCAAGTCTGCAAGGATAAATAAGAACTGATTTTTGCTGTTTAACTGATTTTTTGCTGTTTAGGAGTTTATTATGACAGAACATAATATCTAATTCAGTTCAATAAACATTTTTGTAGTACCCACTACAGGTTGGATTAACCAAAAAAAAAACCTAACCCATTGCTGTGGAGGTGATTCCATCTCATAGCAACACTATAGGACAGAGTAGAACTGCTCCATAGGGTTTCCAAGGCTGTAAATCTTTATGGAAGCAAACTGCCACATCCTTCTCCTGCAGGGTGGCTGGTGGGTTCAAACCGCTGACCTTTTGTTTAGCAGCTGAGTGCTTAACCACTGCACCACCAGTTCTCCTTACAGGTTGGGTTACTACCTAGGAAGTAGACTTTGAGGCTAAGATTAGCATGCAAGACATTTATAGAGAGTGCTCTTGGGATCAACACCTGTGAAGGGGATGTGGGGGAAGCAGGATTTAGCAGAGGTAGAAGTTGATCTGTGATACCATCCTTATGAAGGCCTCAGCAGACCCCATGGGGAGCTCTGGAGCTGGGATGGCCTGAGTTGGAATCAACTCCAGGGCAATGTCTTTTTTTTTTTTTTCAGTTGGGATGGGAGTCCCTGGATAGTGCAAATGGTTAGTGTGCTCAGCTGCTCACCAAAAGGTTAGAGATTCGAGTCTGCCCAAAGGTGCCTTGGAGCCCTGATGGTGCAGTGGCTAAGCATTTGGCTGCTAACCAAAAGGTCGGCAGTTCAAATCCACCAGCTGCTCCTTGGAAACCCTATAGGGCAGTTCTACTCTGTCCTGTAGGGTCACTATGAGTTGGAATCAATTTGACGGCAACAGGTTTGGTTTGGTTTAAAGGTGCCTTGGAAGAAAGGCCTGGCAATCTATTTAAAAAAAATCAGCCATTGAAAACCCTATGGAGCACAGTTCTACTCTGACAAACGTGGTCACCGTGAGTCAGAACTGACTCCATGGCAACTGGTTTTGAGTTGTGATGAGGGGCTGGGCGTTAAAGTCCCAGCATTGATTAGTCATTGAATGCAAACTGCCCCTGAAAGGAGGTGGGATGTTGGGCCTGTGTGTTTCTTTAGCTGAGGCATTTCCCCAAAGAGAACTGATAACAAAGGCTATCTACTATCAGCATTCCCAGCAGCAGGGATGGGACTAAGGATTCTGGGAATCTGGGAAAAGGTTCACAGTCACAGAGTCTACCACAGTACCTATTCTTCTGAGGCACTGTGCAAGTCACTTGGAGACTAAAGATATTTATTAATTTACCAAATATTGAATGGTACTATGTGTGCCAGACACTTCTAGGGGCTGAGATACAGACATGAACAAGACAGATATGGTCCCTGCCCTCATAGAGTTTACAGTCTACTGAGAGAGAAAGGGATTAAATAAGCTATTACACGAATAATTACTGAAATTGTCTTACCAAGGAGATCAATAGGTTCTATAGGAGCATAAACAGGGGATCTAATTTAGTCTAAGATTTAAGGAAATTCTTAAGTTACAATTATACAATTATGTTGTGACCTGAAGAGTAAGTGGGAATTAGCCTGGTGAAGTTGAGGGGAGGGAGGCTAGTAAGAGAGGCAGAAGGAAGGTCGATAAAATAAATTTTAGACTCCAATACATAGACCTTATATAACCACATCAGCTGTGCCAGTTTCTTTCATAAAATCAAACACCTAATGGCTGGAGAGGAACCCTGGTGGTGCAATGGTAAAGGGCTGAGCTACTAACAAAAAGGTTGGTGGTTTGAGGCCACCCAGCAGTTCGGTGGGGAAAAAACCTAGTGATCTGCTTTCATAAAGATTATAGCCAAGAAAACCCTGTGGGAGCACTTCTGCTCTGTCACATGGGGTCGCCATGAATCAGAATCGGCTTAATGGTACCCAACAGCAATGGCTGGGGAGTAGCCCATTATATATCAGTCTCTACTATATCCTCTATTTAGTTTTTAAAAGTTAAGAAAATGATTCTGGGGGACGGGCGTTGGATAATTCCAAAGCCAAGGGTAAAATGAAGTGCTGCTCAGGAGCAAGACTACATTTTGAAGGATACACACAACACAGCTGTCTTAGTCATCTAGTGCTACTATAACAGAAGTACCACAAGTGAATGGCTTTAACAAAGAGAAATTTATTCTCTCACAGTCTAGGAGGCTAGAAGTCCAAATGCAGGGTGGCAGCTTCAGGGGAAGGCTTTCTCTCTCTCTTGGCTCTGGGGAAATCTTTGTCATCAATCTTCTCTGGTTGAGATGCTTCTCAGCACAGGGACTCTGGGTCCAAAAGATGCACTCTTCTCCTGGTTCTTGTTTATTGGTGGTATGAAGTCCCCATGTCTCTCTGCTTGCTTCTCTCTTTTATATCTCAAAAGAGATTGATTTAAGATACAACCTAATCTTGTAGATTGAGTCTTGCCTCGTTAACATTACTGCTGCTAATCTTACCTAATCAATATCATAGAGACAGGATTTACAACACACGGGAAAATCACATCAGATGACAAAATGGTGGACAATCACACAAAACCAGGAATCGTGGCCTAGCCAAGTAGACATATATTTTTGGTGGACACAATTCAATCCATGACAATAGCCTAGAGGAATTTAGTTGCTCTAAACAGAGCCTAAGGACATCCTGATTAGGCCAAAGTAAGTAATTTAATAACAACAGAGACTAGGCATGCAGGACAAGCTGTGCACTTGTGATTCCTGGCATTGTGCATTTCCTTCCCCTTCAGAGCAGAAATGTCTGCCAATTTCCCTTTAAAGGGGACAGGTTGCAGAATTTGTGGCTAAAGTACATTAGTTCTGAATTCTCCTACATATTCTATGAATTATAACCAATACCACCTTCCTCTCCCACCCTACGTATGCCTGCATACTACCTCTTACTTAACTTTGTTTTTGCCATAGCACTTATTACCATCTGGAATATAGATACAGATGTTGTTAGCTGTCATCAGGTTGGCCCCTGACTCATGATGACTCCATGAGCAACTGAACAAAACACTGCCTGATCCTGCACCATTCCCATGAGTGGTTGCAGATTGAATCATTGTTATCTATAGGGTTTTCATTAGCTGATTTTCAGGAGTAGATTGCCAGGCCTTTCTTCCTATATGTGTAGAGAGAGAGATACAATTTTTTCAATTGCCTCTCTCTTCCAATAGACAGTAAGCTCCTTGTTTTCTTCACTGCTGTATCCCCTGTACCTAGACAGTGCTTATCATTCCATTAGTATTTATAGAATGAATATATGAGTGAACAAAACAAGACTGTAAAGAGGTAAGGGACTGAAGCAAGTATAGCTAAATTTGTGGTTGATTAAGCTAAAATTGGGTCACTGATGAGAATTTAGAGATGTTTGTGTGACATACCAGTACTAGACAAGGCACTGTCCATTCCTGACCCATACACAGCCTTCTTCAGAAGCAAGCTGTAGTTCTGATTTCTGACCATGTCAGCTCAACCCTTGGCTCAAAGGCAGTTATTCACAGACTGCAAAGTCTTCTAGTAGATGGTTTGTTTTGGAGCACTGCCTAATAT